GAAAGAAGAAAAAAAAGCCATTCATTGGAGCATCTAGGATGAAGCCACTGGAACAACAGGTCAGGGAACTGTTGTTATGTGCAAGAGAGTGCTCTCAGGAAAATTCAAGAAAAGCCTCAGTGACCAAAACTGGCAACTTCCCCAGAGTGCGAGAAAGCTTAAAACAAAAGCTTAGCCCTAGAAATAGCAGAGAATATAATAAAGGATCTTTGATGGAAGATCAAATGATGTGTGTTCTCACACACACACACACACACACACACACACACACACACACACACACACACACACACACATTTGATAGCATTCCAGGGATCAACCAGTGTCTTTTTGCCAAAAAATAAATGGCATCTCTCCCAAGGCAGGAGGAGGCAGTTGGCTCAACATCTGAAGGGAAGAAGTGTGGGAACTAATAGCCATAATGTCCATGAGAAAGCTCCACAGATTTGGAAGTTTCAAGGTGATGTTTGAAAATAATGTTAGGTATGTAAAGTGTGAAAGTACAACGTAGAGTATCACTGGGTCCCATGCCAGTAAGAGGATAAAGCTTTTGCTTTTAATCTTGTGAGGGTTCTAGGCATAAAAATTGGAGTGAGGAGTAAAAGCACAATAAAACAATGATTAAAAAAAAGAAAACAATGCCAAGGGCACTTTATGCTATGAATGCTCTGTGTATTGTTTAGAAGACTTTGAATAATCCCCAAATTAATCCCATGAAATGAAGAGATAATGGCTATGGGAGAATCACGTTATTCCTTGATTTAAAAAAATTATCTATATACTTGTATATAGAGATATATATAGGTATCACTCTATATATATTGTTGTCTCTATGTAGAAAACTATATATCTGTATTTATATAGATAGACAGATAGTTGTAGTTAGAGAGAGAGAGATTTATATAGCCACAATTCTGATACCACTGCCAAATACTTAAAGTCTGGTTTACATAAAGTGAAATGGTTTAGGAACTATTTTGAGAATTGATAGGCAGTGTATTATTTTTAAGCCAAAAATTACGAATATAGTTGAGCAAAGTTACATTGTATGTATGGATTCTGCAAAAGGAAAGTAAATGGGAGCGGTAATATCAACTGTATTTTCTGTTTGCTTGGGATGGATTTCATTTTTACTTGGGATGACTTGTGTCAAGTAATAAACCCAATTACAACTAATGTAATTGTATTCCCGAAGAGACTCTCTCTCAAATGAGAGAACTTGTCCAACAGGAAACTTGGGTACTACAATAAGAAGGGTGAGTGATAACTAGGCTATTAAATCTGACAAGTATATTCTGCATATGTTTCAAAACTTGATATTTTCTAGTAACTTTAAAAACACTGCTCCATACATTATTAAAAGACTCTGTGCTAGGCTCAGATGTTTCATACCTGTAAATCTAGATACTCAGGAGACTAAGATCTGAGGTTTGTGATTCCAAGCTAGCCCAAGCAGCAAAGTCCAATTAATTCAATTAAATGCCCTAAAAATGCCAGAAGAGGAGTGGAGCTATGGCTCAAGTAGTAGAGTGCTACCCTTGAGCAAATAGGAAAGAAAAGTACCTCAAGGACAGCACAGAGGTCCTAAGTTCAAGCCCCAATATATACTTTCTCTCTCTGTCTCTGTCTCTCTCTCTGTCTCTCTCTCTCTTTCTCTCTTTCTCTCTCTCTCTGTCTCTCTGTCTCTGTCTCTCTGTCTCTGTCTCTCTCTCTCTCTCTCTCTCTCTCTCTCTCTCTCTCACACACACACACACACACACACAAGACCTTGGTTACATTCATTAGGACTTTTTCCTGTATTTCACTCAGAAATATGAGTTATATTTGAACTGATATTGTCCATAAGTGTAGATCTAGATATGATAAATGATAAAGAAATAAGAAGAGATCTATTATTCAATAATTTCTCCTAAAGATAAGAGTTCTCATTCTTTTTAAAAAAATATTTTCTTGTAAAGATTCTGTATAAAGAGGTTATAATTACATCAATAAGGTAATGAGTGCATTTCTTGTGGAGCATTGTTACCCCCTTCTTTATTGTTACCCCCTTCTTTGTTTTTCTGCTATTATCCCCCCTCCCGTCACCCCTACTTTTCCCCTCCAAAGTTGTAAAGTTCATTTCCAACATAGCATCTCTCAGTATCATTGCTGCAGTGAGTCATCCTGTGTCCTTGTTTCAGCATTTTGTTATTCCTCTTCCCCTCCCCAGATTAAATAAATATATACACAAGATGCAAGGTACCAAAATCAAACACAGTGACAACAGGTATATACCACAGGAGGAAGAACATATAAAACAAATTTTAAAAATCGCATAGTACATTAAACTAACAACAAAAAAGGAAAACAAGAGCTCTTATTCTTAATTCTGCCACCTAACAGCCAGTGTATCATGTTTAATGTGATCCAGGAATTAAAACAATTTATAAACTTCCTTAATAAGAAATAAGTCAAATGATTTCCATGTATAACAATACCTTTTAAATATAAACCTATTTCAAAATTTACCTATTAATCTGTCATTGACTTCTTTCTGCTCTTTGGAGTTGGTATGAGTTTATGAAACATCATGTCAAGAATCGACCATGTACCTATATGAAATATAGATGGTAGGTATTTTGCCCAGTGATCATCAAATATGTTGACTCAAAAATTCCTAATAGCATAGGGGAAGCATCTTCTTCCTCCTTCCACTGCTTGTCTGACACTGAAGAGATGGGTTTGTAGCCACCCCTTAGGGATAATGACGTAAGTGGCAAGGTACAAGCCCAAGATTCCAAAGTAAACTTGCAAGGCATGTATTGCATTCTATTCTGTCTCATACTCCTGTTTCTTTCAATTGAAAATGAAAATTAACCTTTGCTTTTCCTCCAATTCAAAGAATTTATTTAGAATAGAATTACCACTCTTGGAAAAAGCTTCTTACTCTCCCTAGGTTTCATGTTTCTCTTCCAGATGCCTTCATGTGTATCTACGATTTGATATATCAAGCTCTGTTTTATTCTTCAACATAGAGGAGAGTATGTTTGAAGAAGGAGATTGATTAATCTCTCAATGGAAAACTGTAATTTTTGTACATCAAGCCTTATCAACAAATACACTCACTGGAGATTCTAATGACTTAAAAGCTAAAGTCTTTGTATATTCTCACAGTACTTAAAACTAGTTTGTTTTTTTTTTAATTTTTAAAAGAAGTGTAAATGTGGAAGCATGGTTTGCAAAATAGTAGCACTCTATAAAGATCATTTATCTTAAAGAACAAAGTTTGTTATAATGCTAAAATAAATAATAATTGAAAACATTTACTGTTATACTTCCCTGAAAATTCGTTGCAGCCTCTGATTGAAAAGTACAGAAACATCATTGATTGTGCTTGAAAAGTAGGTTGGAGTGATTGATTAATAGCTCAAGACATGTTGGGTATCCAGTTGAATTTTAGTTATTAGGAATGGGTGAAAAGTTTGCTGTCAAAAAAATATCAATTTGGCTCTAAGGGCCAAACTTTTCTGACAGTTTCTGCACAAAGCAGGGCTCTTGAATAACTGCCCCTGTTGTGTGGTAATTGACCCCAATAGCAGTGAAATATTGAAGGTAGGAGGTATAAAACGAGTAAACAAGTCATAAAAATGTCAAGGAAATAAGAAGGAGACTCCCATAAAAAGGAGACTCATTTAGTGTTCTTCTGTAGATCTTCGGGTTTGGAAAAAATTAAACAGTTGCTTAAATAGTTAAAATTATAACATAGGATCTGTTGTAATTAGACGTCCATAGGCCTACTGTTAAATTACATCTATTTAAAATGTTTGTAATATTTGGACTTTTAAAATAAAGCATTACTACTCAAAAAATATATGCTTTAAATAAAACTAGCCCAAAATAAAGCTTTCTAAATGTTCACATAAATTTAGGTAATAAGAGGGTAACTCATATCTTTTTTCTGAAATTTAGACATCTGGGGGCTGGCTGGAAAGTTGGCTCAGTGGTAAAGTGCTTGCTTCGCGTGCATGAGGCCCTGGGTTCGATTCCTCAGCACCACATAAACAGAAAAAAGTCAGAAGTGGCACTGTGGCTCAAATGGTAGGGTAGTCTTGAGCTGAAGAGCTGAGGGACAGCACTTAGGCCCAGAGTTCAGCCCCCAAAACCAACAAAAAATAAAAATAAAAAAATAAAAAAATGAAAATTACACATCTTATGTCCTATATTTATTAGTTTTGACCAAGATTTTAAAAAAATGCTTCCATGAAATTGATAGGCCATATTATTTTGGTAAAAATAAATATGGATTTCAGAAAATGAGTAAGAATTTAATTACAAAATAATTCTATCACTTTTTACATGCATGTATTGTTCTTCATAAAGAGGAAGAAAATCCTTGAGGAAACTTTAAAAAATTTAACTTTTGACTGATCTCTGTAATAACAATGGGCTAATTCACATGATCAAAACTATTCTCCATGAAATATATTTTTTCAGGTTTGTTTGAGAATTTATTTTTCGTTTTTGAGATACCAATATCGACCCACTGCAAAGAAAAACTTTTGTCATGCCCCAATACCACATAAATGCAAATACAGTGATTATGACATGCTAGTAGATGCTGGATTCACTAAGTATACTGAATATACTTAAATATATTAATTATATTGTCGTTTGTGTCATGTCAAGTTACTACAAACAAATAAAATTAAAACAGGTCCATATGAAGTTGAAGGAAGTTTAGATTGGTTTAAAGATATGCCAACAAATTTAGGACGAATTCTGATTAGGGGCTTGCAGAGAATGGGTTCTAGGAAATCTTTGTTTAGAAGCAGTTTCTTGACATAATCAAAAACTATGATTTTTATTTCTCAAGTATTTGTTAACACTGAAAAGGAATAGCAGTTGATTTGTTATGAGGAGTATTTTAGTCTGTGTCACCTGTTTCTCATCAACTGTATATATGATCTCTTTAACCTTACTCTTCCTCTCTCTCCTCTTTCTCTCTCCCTGTTGTTCCACAGAAAAAATTATGACATCAACATCCAAAGGAATTCTCCGCCCATTTTTAATTGTCTGCATTATCCTTGGCTGCTTCATGGCATGCCTGTTAATTTATATCAAGCCCACCAACAGCTGGATCTTTAGTCCAATGGAGTCTGCCAGCTCCGTACTGAAAATGAAAAACTTCTTTTCCACCAAAACCGATTATTTGAACGAAACTACTATTCTGGTCTGGGTGTGGCCATTTGGGCAGACCTTTGACCTCACATCCTGCCAAGCAATGTTCAACATCCAAGGATGCCATCTCACGACTGACAGGTCATTGTATAACAAGTCTCACGCCGTCCTGATCCATCACCGAGACATTAGCTGGGATCTCACTAATTTACCTCAGCAGGCTAGACCACCTTTCCAGAAATGGATTTGGATGAACTTGGAATCTCCAACTCATACTCCCCAAAAGAGTGGCATTGAGCACTTGTTCAACCTGACTCTGACCTACCGCCGCGATTCAGATATCCAAGTGCCTTACGGCTTCTTGGCGGTGAGCACAAACCCCTTTGTATTTGAAGTGCCAAGCAAAGAAAAGTTAGTGTGCTGGGTTGTTAGTAATTGGAATCCCGAACATGCTAGGGTCAAGTATTACAACGAGCTAAGCAAAAGTATTGAAATCCACACCTATGGGCAAGCATTCGGGGAATATGTGAATGATAAAAATCTGATTCCGACCATATCTACTTGTAAATTTTATCTTTCTTTTGAAAACTCCATCCACAAAGATTACATCACAGAAAAGCTCTACAATGCTTTTTTGGCTGGCTCAGTACCTGTTGTTCTAGGACCATCTAGGGAAAACTATGAGAATTACATTCCAGCAGATTCATTCATTCATGTGGAAGATTATAACTCACCCAGTGAGTTAGCGAAATATCTGAAGGAAGTCGACAAGAACAATAAGTTATACCTTAGCTACTTTAACTGGAGGAAGGATTTCACCGTAAACCTTCCACGATTTTGGGAATCACATGCCTGTTTGGCTTGTGATCATGTAAAAAGGCACCAGGAATATAAATCTGTTGGTAATCTAGAGAAATGGTTTTGGAATTAAAGCTTTCTATCACTTGCACATGCAGTGACATATTTTGGTGAAATATTCAAGAGTTGAGGGTAAAAAAGAAACATTTTGCTTTTATGTCACCATTTATTTTTATCATCTTCTCTTGGGTAACATGGAAATTTGATGATAATTTTTAAGTACTCATTATTAGCAATCATTCCATTTGGTTAAATTATCCTGTATATACCTAATTATGTGCAGTGAAAAGTAATTTATTTGTCAGTATCATTGTAAACCTTCTTCATGTTTGTGAAGTTGCCTGTAATGTCAGTTTATGAGTCTTGCTACACAATCAGCTCTATTTGGGAAATGAATGTCTCAAAACATGAAAGATTTTCATAAATATTATCCTCTCTAATTCCAACGTTACCTAATGATTACAAAGAAAGAATGTACTATAGTTGGATTCTAACCTGTTTGACTTCAGATTTGGAAAAGGTATGAACTGTTGGTTATTTTTTTTTACCTGGTTACAATGTTTCTGATGGCAGAATTGTCCATGTCATGAATAGAAAATATATGGAACAGAACTGTTCTATTGAGGAAGCAATTAGACTTCATTTTCTCATCCTGGTAAGTTAAAGTACTCAAGAATTTTAAATATCAATTGGTCTTGATTTCCAACACTTAGAAAATAATTCTAGTAACACTGTGAGAATCCAAGAAATTCCTCATTCCAATCTCAACAATATGGCAGTGAGACCACAATAGATAATTTCTTCAAATAACAAAGAAAAAAAGGATATCTATAGATGTCTATCATATTAATAAATTATGCTGTTTATCTGATTTTTAATTATAATTTAAAATTGCTTTTTGAAGTTTGAATATTTAAAGTAGTTTTATTTTAGTATGTCAACCAACAGAAACAACTGCCAAAAGATTACTTAGAACGTAAATACATTGATCATGTGTTAAATATGTTACTCAATATAATAAAATGGGCTACATAAGAAACACACAATAGAGAGTAGGATTTCACAGCATATTTGTTGGATAAATAAGTGAATGTTATTGAAAAGACACAGGTAAGGTTTTGTTTCAATGAAGTGACAGTTCTAGCCTACAGGTACTAATTGGACATTATGTTTATATCCTCTTTTAAAATTCTTCATACATGTTTTACTAGGGTCTTCAGAACTTTATAGAACCAGCATAAATACATCATTATACTAATTTTTGGGCAATTTATGCCTGATCTTTCAGCTGCCTTCAGCATATCTTCTCTAAAATTTAGGAGGCCTTGATATGAGGAGAGATGAATAGGTGAGAAGAAGACAGAATATTGAAAATTATATTCTCCCCCCTCAAAAAAATCTTTGATGTTTTTATTCCATGCTGGAAAAATTGATCAAATGAGTCAGAGTGTTCTCATACATTTGGTATATCTATGACATATTTTAATAGATTCATTATATACTTTCATGAGCAGAACTCAGGCAATGGTCTTATATTCCAGGTAGAAATTAGAGAGAAAGTTAAATTTAAATTCAAGAAGAAAGAAGTATGCCTAGATTACATAGGAATACATTTGTCAACACTGGAATATCTGAACAAAGGAAGAGTCCCACATTGAACAGAGGATCATTTTTCCCAGGTTCATTTCTCCAGATATTCTTGGACAGGATGTTGTGTTAGGCCCTAAAATCCATTGAGATAAAGATGGAAAAGCAGGTTAATTAAGCAGAGAGTCAAGAAAGCTTTTTTCTAATTCCATTCTGACTCAGCGTTTATATACATAATAATATCAATGGAGATTATAGCAGAAACTGTTGACTGATTTTAAAGAGGTAGAATTCTTTTCAGTTGTTTATCTACTTAAAATGTTTCTGAAAGGTAAACTTTGTCTATTCATTTGATCCAACACATTTTCCTTAGAGTTTATCTCTGCTATCCACAAACTATTTCTATTACTCATCAGAAAATAGTATGTCTGAAAAAATGCCTTCCATTAAATATTTTTTTCATTTTTTTCTCAAATTTATTTCACTGTTAAAATAATTCAATTTATACTTTGTCATTTTTATTTTTATAAAGCTGTCTAAAGATGGTGCATTGCTAAGTTTAGAAAGTATCTGATTTCTCTGAAAGCTAAAAAGCATTCATTGTCAGTCCTTTTCTAAAGTGAATGCTAATGATTTCAAATAACTTAAGAAAGCTGAGGTCAGTTATCTCTTGTTAACTATGAATTTAGACTCTCTCTTTGACTTTGACTGTAACTATGCACTGATAGTAAGACTCAAATGAAGGCAGTAAGTGCTTAACTGGTACATCTGTATAGTGCCAACCTATTGACAAGCTCCAGAATAGTAAGTTTTCAAAATACAAATGAGTCAACGAAACCATTAAGTTCTGCATCCATTGATTTTTGAGCTCTAGGGATAGAGGAATAGGAAAGAAATGTATATAACCTAATTTCTTCTTTCCATTCATGGAGATAACTGGATCTAGAGATGTTATTCATTTAAGATATACACACATTCACACTTGAACATGCACACACACACACACATACACACACACACACACACGCATACCTACAAACATGTCTGTGAACTATATATCTAGTGACAGTAGTTAAGATTAGAATGTGAGCGTCCTGTTTCTCTTCATCTCATGCTCATTTTCATTGAAGTTCCACTTTATGACAGAGGTGTGTCTCAATTCCTATAAATGTGAATATCCTGGTAGCATTATTTAGGGTCTGTAGGAAGGGTTGCTCCATGGAAAACTTTTGAAGACATGTAAATATGACATCAAACTTGTCGGCTTTCCTTCTGATTAAGTGTTTTGAGAGTTGAGTTCAGGAAAAGGAAATGGATTGGGTATACTTACGTGAAATGTAGACCGCAAGAAGGTGTTGGGTTTTAAGCCACTCCTTTAATAAATCCCATGGGCTGTAATTTTTGTAATACTATCTCATGGGAAAGATACATTGACATTGATTCAACAAAATAAACTTGCTTCTGGTTTCAAAAACAAATAATTTTGCATGGAGATTAAACTGTGGCTATAAAAAAAGAACAGATTATTTACATTTTCTTTCAAAATATCAAAAAAACAATTATCATCTATACCCTGAATGTTTAAATAATAACTACTAAGGCCTTATTTAATGCATAAATATTATTTTGGGCCTCACTAATGCAAATAAATTCTAAGAACAAATACTCACTAATAATGCTCACTAATAAGAATAAACCCATGTCTAGCAATATTACACTCTGAAAAAGAAAAACCATGACAACTGTGTATTTTATTACAGCCATGAATTTAACAATATGAAAGGGAAACACAAAATTATTACCTTACTGGGAAAATAGTATGAAATTAACATTTTTGTATTAAACCCTAGATAGTTTGAGAATGTGGAGAAAAGCTTTTCATTGCAAGGGCTTGGCATATTTGAGGTGTAAATGGACAGAATACTGAAGAAGTATTTACTGATCCTTTAAATTCTTGCCTCTAATTGGAAACAAAATATAAATAGAAAGATATGATACTGAGTTTTAAGAATTTTTTGCTTGTTTATTTTTGCTTGTAGATTCCTTTATTAACATGGTTACCTAGAAAATGTCTTCTGCATGAAACAATACCTTATAAGTAAGATCTAGATTTTTATATTTTGACTTTGTACTTAACAATGTCTTAGAATTTCCTTGAACACTGACCTTGTTCAGGAGAACTGCTTCAAAATGGTCATCAAGTTGTTCAATACAGCAGAGCAAAAATTGAGGGAGGAGCAGAGTGTCTAATACAGAGGAGGATTTCAACAGTACTTGAATGAATAACTAGAAGTCATTCGTGGATATGAAATAGTTGAGATGAAGTGACAGTTGAGCTTACTGGGACTAACTGAAGATGATGTTTTATGCAACTTTTACTGATGTGTTTGCTTCCTAGATGCAGATGGAGGGCATTCTGAGTTCTTCATAACTTACTTCAATGAAAAACATCAAAAGAAATAACATTGTTAGGGAAAAAAACCTAAATAGACTAGGAATTTTCTACTTAAATATTAGCAACTGTTTCTAATAGAAAAGAAAATTACTATTAAAGAGAATATAAAGAACAAGTGCCAGACAGATATTATCAAGTATTCAGGGGAAAATAAAATTTATTTCCTCCCTAACTCCCTAGTTTCATTCTATTGTTTGGCCAATTTATCACAAACATCAATTAAGATGAGATTTTTTTTTCCTGGATGTCTCTCATCAGAGAATTTGTAACATATTGTAGATGCAAATGTTCCAATACTACTCCAAGTGTTGTTTCTCTCGGTAATTCATATTAAATTTGTGAATATTCATAACCTAAATAACTAGAAATATGAATAGTACTAGCCTTATTTATAAATTCAACAAAATCTAGTTTTGAGGAAGTAGGTTAACCTCTTTAAACTATTGAGTTTGTAAAAGTCCTTCTGACACTACTCATTGAAATCTAAGTTGATATACACATGAGTTGAAATAGAAATTTCAATGCTCATCTCAAAATACTTTTGGACATAGATATTGCAAAAAATTATTTCTCATTTCTCTATACAGATACTTACAGCATATGCCAATTGCTTGGATGTATGTAAATGATAGCATTTTGGTTCTTTTAGTGGAGCTTGGATTATAACAATTAACTAAGTTTCCTCCTTTAATTCTTTTGCCCCTCACTGCTTTTAAAGGTCTTTGAAACTCAGTCATTCCTGAGAATTTAATTAAATGTCAGTAGAAAACTAATAATATATCAAGCATTATTTTTTAAAACTGGATATGTCTTACTACTTGAATTCTTACCATAATAATCTGAAAACATTTATTCATGGAAAAATTCAAGAAGACAGTGGAAATACATAAGACAATTCTCAATAATATAGCATACTTTGAGTAAGCCAGACTTAAACACATTCATAAAATTTTGTTTGTATGTTTTTGTGTGAGTGAGTTCTAGGGCTTGAATCTAGGGCCTGGGCATTATCTCTGAGCTTTTTAGATTAAGGTTAGCACTCAATCACTTAAGCCACAGTTCCACTCCTGCTTTTGGGTGGTTAATTGGAGATCCACAGAACTAGGTAGCTAGGTTTACCTGTCATGGGTTTATTTCTAAACTCATAGTGAAGATGAGTTCATGCATTTGATTTACTTCAAAAAAAAATTTGAGGCCAAGAGAACTCCCAAATCAAATACTTATTGTCAGTGTTACTCAAAAAGTTGTTCTAAGTCACTTGATCTGGAATTTACAATGATGTTTTCCAAGGATCCTGATTCCTAGACTCTGCCCCAGTATAGTTGTGGGGGAAAAAAGTAAAATAAACTTGAATACTTTTTCTACTATCCTTTAATTTTTTAAGCACGTATAGTATACTATATACCATACTCAACTGATACAGGATATGAAATATTGCCTTTCTTTAGTTCACAATAGAGTCTTCTTAAATGTATCAGTAAATTATTCTTTTATTTCAGGATCTAAAACATTTTTTATGCCTGTTATTTCATGCTTGATCTTATGATGCTCTGTGATGTGATTGGGGCTGGTAATTTACATCTTCTAGCCATTCTTTCCAGTTATATATGGTTGATAGCAGTAGTTTTCAAGCTGGGCTTTACATCTGGACAGTCTTTATAATTGCCCGTTGTCAAGCCTTACCTCCAAACAACTAACCTAAATGATTTGATGAACAAAAGCTTAGCTCCATGGGTAAAATTAAGATGAGGTCAACTCTGAGAGGCACAGTCTAC